GTGAATTATAACAGGAAAGCAAAGTTTATCTAAGATTCTCTGACACGTACACACAGGCGGGAAAGAGGAACATTATGGGTAAGTGATGCATGATTTACTATGCATAAAAGACATTCAGGGTTTTTGGGTCACGTGTCTTGTTGCCAGCATGAGTTCAAAGTCAACACGAAAATACTTCACAGTATACCAGAGGTAAGTTCCTGTTCGAAATTCATTTAAGTTCTAAAAAATGTCAAATATACTAATCATGAATTAAAATTTTGTGAAAATTTATACATGGTGGATCAGGCTTGTAAAAAAAAAATATGAATAATGTAGTTAATGAATTCGTCCTATCCTGCCTACTCCAGTGCTTTTACACAAGAATTACCTATTTCCAAAATTTTTATAACATGGTTCTTTCTTTTGTTTTACATAGTTCCTTATGCTTGGGATGAACCAACATTTTCTCCTTACATTACTTGTTGTGCCCCCGGTGATTGTAGTGCATCGTACAATATGGACAGCTTTGGTGAAGGCAGTAAACTCTATTATGAAAACTTTATTTATGTTGCTTTCACTGGAACATTTCTCAGGTTTGTAGTGTGTTTTCTGTTTTTAAGTTGTTTCCAAGAGTGTAATGTATTAGTTTTCATAATTAATGATCACCAATGTATTAGGATGGTTCTTATGTGATTGTTATTAATCATATCTTGTAAGCTCATGCTGTAATATTAAATAAGTTTTAATAAGATTTAGACTTGTTAAATATTCATTAAAAAAATGTTTTTTTTATAAGTTATAGAAATTTGTAAATCAACATCTTTATGATTATCTGTTTAATGTGAGTGTTTGTAGTACATTGAACATTATAGATGGAAGTGCTGAAGCATGTATGATAGCATGATGATAAAAATAACATGAAGAATTAGTACAATACAAGCAAAACTACCCGTCCCCAGTGATGGGAAGTGTTTGAGTTAATCTAGTAAAACTACCCATTCCCAGTGATGAAAAATATTTAACTTAATCTAGCAAAAGTCGTCCCCAGGGATGGGAAATGTTTAACTTAATCTAGCAAAACTACCCATCCCCAGGGATGGGAAATGTTTAAGTTAATCTAGCAACTTCAATTATTTCATGGACTTTAAAAAGGTTAATTGTGTTGCACTCTTTGTTTAACTCAGAGCCAAAGCTCTGAGCTACTTATACTGCCCACTGTGAAAAGTAATTGTTGAGCATTTCAGTAATTCTAAGAGCCACTTAACAATAACGTACGGTAAATCTACACTTATATTCTTTAAGTTACGTCACATTTGGAAATGTGAATGATAGTGTGATTAATTCCTAACAATTTAGTGTAGAATATCCTGCTTGCGAAATAAAATTTGGCATCAATGTTATTCATGCCTGTTTTCCCGTCATTTCAAAAGTGAATGTTGAGCTTTGTCTGTGTGCACAGCTTTTCAAACAGGAGACAGACGAATACTCAGACAGACACCATGGTTCACAATATATATAAGATGATTGTTTCTTGTGTCTACAGTTAAATAGTTTGTTAATTGTAACATGATTTCAATAACACAGGGCTGATGGGATAAATGATTCGATGCTGTTCTCCTCCAGTGATCTCACAGGGCAAGAGTTAGTACTGGATGTTCCTTTTGGGACACGGGTTATTCTTAGTCGAAAAGTAAGCTCTTCATGACATTCTTTTTGGCCTGTCTAAAATTAACTTGTACTAACTTGAATAGTTCAGAATACATGTATACATGTGTATAGTGGTTTAATCTAAATTTGAGGACTATTTGATATTTTATCAGTTTAATTATGTGCCAAGAACTTAACTGAATAAGTGGTGACACTGTTTTAAATATGGATTCACAGTTAAATTTAATGAACTTTTGAAAAGTTATGTTACTGTCTTCTAAGATTAGAAAAAAAAAATCAATTTCTGTGTTGGGTTTTGTAACTGACACAGTTTAAAATTAAAAGTTTGTAGGATAAATTTATATCACCATTAGTTGACGAATTTGTTTACAGTATAGGACTCATCCTTCTAAGTAAAATTAATTTATGGATTTGTTCATAGTATTGGCTCTACCATTGTTATTAACATTACTTGACAAATTGTTCACAGTATAAACCCTACTTTGGAAAAAATATTATTTGACAAATCTGTTTACAGTTGAGTCCTTTTATTAACAAAAACAAAAGAACAGTTTAATTTTAGGACTAATTTTTAAACTTATGCATTGATTGCTGTAGAACCTTTGAAATAAGTCGTATTTTAAGAGAAGAATTTTTGCCCACTAGGAGCAAGGAAAAAGATCTCAATTGTGGCGCATGACATCAACAGAAATGCTTCAACATGAAGGTTCAAGTCCACCACGTGACCCCCATCGATCAACTTCTGTGGATAACGAGAGAGTCCTTGTGTTGGACATTGCTGGATTGGGCCCTCTACCTGGAGAGTTTGTCCCGCTTATGTTACGTAAACCAGACAAACGACGACGCTTGACTCAGACTTGGAGGTTTACTGAAAATGGACGACTGTGTTGTGGACTTTCAAATTTGTTTGTACAAGCAAAGGATGGTTTCATGGGGTTAAAAATAGGTAGGCCTTTATAAGATTATGGAGAATTACTAAATTAAATCACTTTTTTGTTCGTTTAACACCACATTTAACATGTTAAAATTGTTTAGTATGAAAATAAGAATAGTGCACATTTAGAATATTTTTGGATATTTCCACAAATTGTGTTTTAATCTCAGAATGGCTGATAATTTTGTTATTTTGTCTCAAGGCTTACGTGCTTCATTGTATATTAAGTAGATAACGTTTTGGTATTGAATCGGCACTTGAGTAAATGTTCAAAGTTAAAAATTGTATTTACCTCAGTAGCTCATAGATTAATTCTTCAAGACTATTCTCAAGTGTCACTCTGAACAAGGCAGTTGCTGCCCATTTTTAGCTATGTTTATTCATTGTGATTGGTGTTTAAACTTTGATTTTAATTCCAAATAATAAATGTTTAGTATAAAAGTCAAAACTTTTTACCTTTGAGCGTTATATTTGTTTGTTTTTTTTGTTTGACTTAAGTACTCAGTAGTCAAGGTTTATCCTTGTATTTAGATGACAGCAATGGTACAGGAAGCAACTTGTGGAGACCATGTATGTATCATACTAGATAGCATAATTGAGTTTGTTTGCCTGACATGCCTTTTCTGTATTTGTAAATACTCAGCCCAAGACTACTATCACGCTTTAATACACTTTCTCGGAACCTCGTTGAAACTTGTGATTGAATGCAGATGTCACTTTAGACTGTTCTAGCTAGTAACAATCGTGCTGCAGGTTTGATCCTTTTCCACCAGTCTGTTTTGTCAATGCATTTTAACCTTGAATATATTTAGATTGACTAAATTACAATAACATAAGCCCCTCCCCTGGTGGCTGAGTATTAAGTCTAAAGGCTTATAATGCTAAAAATCAGGTTTCAATACTCATGATGGGCTGAACACAGAAAGCCTATTATTGTGCTTGATAACAAACAAACTTTAACGTAATGTCAGTAACATTCTTTTTATGTAAATTCTAGTCTGGAGAATAAAACCTAAATTTGTTCTACAACCATGACAGTAATTTTGCATGTAAATTGTTATGGGTGTTAAAAGCAAGTTTCTTACTTTGTTATAAATATTTTACAAAAACTAGAAAGATGATAAAACTAAATGAAGTATAAGTTCAGTAATGTACAACATGTTAAGATTACAAGCAAATTTGAGAAAATATGTTGACTTATTTCAAGTGTGTATATTATTACTGTGTTTTTTAGTTGACTAAGGATGACTTATTTCAAGTGTGTGTATATTATTACTGTGTTTATTAGTTGAGTAAGGATGACCTATTTCAGGTGTGTTACTCAACTAATAAACACAGTAATAATATACTTGAAATAGGTCATCCTGTGTATATTATTACTGTGTTTATTAGTTGAGTAAGGATGACTTATTTCAAGTGTGTATATTATTACTGTGTTTTTTAGTTGAGTAAGGATGACCTATTTCAAGTGTGTATATTATTACTGTGTTTGTCAGTTGAGTAAGGATGACCTGTTTCAAGTGTGTGTATTATTACTGTGTTTTTTAGTTGAGTAAGGATGACTTATTTCAAGTGTGTGTATATTATTACTGTGTTTATTAGTTGAGCAAGGAAACTAAATATGGCATTATTACAGAGTAATCTTAATCTATGCAAGAAAATTTTTACTCCATTGACTATAGCATCATTTTGGGCACACAATATTTAGCCAAGAAACACAGTACCGGTTCTTAATGTTTGTAGTGATGTAGTCTTCTGAAAAATATAATCAATAACACAGAAGTATCAGTAGTACGGTCTTCAAGTATGACAATACTACTCTGTATAAGTACACGTCTTACTATATTAAAGACTTCAGAACATTTTCAGTTTTCTTCAAAGTAAACAAACCACAGTGGTTATTGTTCCTTGTATGCTTGCTTTCTAGCAGACTGATTCTTAACCCAGACTTTACTGTGTCAGCCACCGCAATTAAAATTTGTTTAGTACATTCTTCACATTTTGAGAACTCTATAAAGAACTCCTTTGAATGTGTGTCCAGTAAACCAAAATTAATTAGAGCCGAACCTGATATATGGTTGTAGTTTGGATTGATGTTACTGGCAGACAAACAAGCTCTTTTATTCTGCACATCATGAGGCAAGAACATTACTGAGTTGAACAACCTCAGTGATGTAAAAAAAATGCAATCCCTTTCTAGTTTTACTGACAGTATCTGGAGGCCTGTCCATTTCCTTAACTAATCTTTAAACATGTCAGCATCAAGCTCTGACAAATTATTGTTTCAGTTTAATTGTCGTTGCATTATTACAGTTATTAGGCATCCACCCAACACATAATCTAAATTGGAACATTTCCACTGCCCTTCACAAATTTGTACTGGTTCTCGTTGTACTTCTCATGTTTATTTTAGTACTGTTCTAATGCCCAGGCAAGTAACATCATCTTTGATTTGCTACTTAGGTTTTCCAATGTAAGTTTGGTTTAAGTCTTTTTCTTATGTTTGTTTATGTTTTAGAGCTGTTCATACTGTTTGTGACATAAACTTGAGCAGAAAAACTTCAGCTCCCCCTGTAGGCCAGTGGTAAACTTATGGACTTGTAATGTGCTCAGAGCACAAATAGGCTATTGTATAGCTTTCCATTAAAACAAACAAATTAACAGTTCATAAATTACAAATACAGTTGCAAATAGCAGAATGACTAGTAATTAGATATTCCAAAAAGTAATGCACACAGCAAACAAAATGTATATGAAAAAAAATGGTTCAAATCACTTTAAAACTTGTATGCATTATACATTTTGGCAAACATTTTCCTCACAACCAATGAAGGTCATGTGGCCAAAATGTTGACCACACCATGTAATTCTTTTTCCTTCAAAGCAGTTTTATGTTACATAGAGACCCCTAAATTTTGGTATTGATTATCCAACCCATATTTTGTTCTTATATCTTTTTAAATTATATCATTTTAGGGAATGAAGTTGTTATTGGACCTACCCAACCTGTTACCTTTAAGACTATGCAAAATGGTGTACCTGTTGAACAGGCTTTGAGCCGACAGAAACTTCGAGGTGGATCAGGTGTGCTGGCCGTAAAGGTCGTGGCGGATGGACCAACACGTGTTCTACAAATAACTGACATCAGACAAAAGGTATATGAAGAAACTATGGTAAAATATACTTATTATTGACATTGGGAAATGTTTACGGGTAAATATATCTGAAAATTTGTATCTCCATGGTTACGGGTAAATATTTCTGAAATTTTGTATCTCCATGGTTACGGGTAAATATTTCTGAAAATTAGTATATCCATGGTTATGGGTAAATATTTCTGAAAATTTGTATCTCCATAATTTGAAGGGAAAATGAATTGTACCTTCTGCACAGAAATATATTTCAAAAACCTCATAATTAATAAATACTTGTGTAATTTTTAGGTATGCTAGTAATATAAAGTAATTATCCAATATGATATTTTTTATATAGTGTAAAAGAGTGTTTTATTTTTATTCTGTAGCAACTAGTATCCTTAACTTCATCGACCTCAGATTGGGTTGTATTAGAAGAAAGAGAGAGGCCCCGGCTTTCGTCACAAGAGGCCTCTAAAGCCCCAGAAAGCAGCAATGACACCTCAAGATCGACACATGATCTTCAAGTATGATTCTTTCTCTATGTATATATTAGTACAAAGGGTACAGACATTGTTCTGTCGAAGGCATGAAAACATGAAGTTTCTACATTAAAGAGCGGTGTTGTAGCTATTTCAGATAATAATATGTTGCCATGTTAAATACATGGCTGTAATAGATAAGTATTGTTGTGTTAAACCAGAGGCTTACCAGGTGGCTATACCAAATACACGGTACTCAGGATCTATAGATTCATTGGGTGGCTGGCCTCACTTAAGAAGCAGAATGTTCCAGAGGAGCCTTTTGCTGAGAAAATTTTGGAACCCATGTAATTAGGTAACAGTTTTGTAGCTGTATTAGGTTGCAGTGTTGTTAGGTAACAGTATTGTTGCTACACCAAAACTATTTATAAAATCATTGTTAATGAGTAGTTTTTGTTTTTTTTTCAATAGCTTTGTTTTCACCTCTCAAGTGGTCTTGGAGTATCTGTAATCAACCACTTGAGTGAAGAGTTGGTGTATTTATTGCTCAATAACATCATGGTAGAGTTTGTCCAGAATGCCAGTGGTCAGACCTTAGACTGTAGTGTTCAAAACCTCCAAGCAGACAATCAGCTCTTGAATGCAGAACAACCAGTTATGCTTTACGTCACTCCTCAGGATAAAACGGATCACCTACGTCACCTGCCGGCAGTGTACATCACCATTCAACGATCCTCCATGCCGGATATTAATGTTCAGATCTTTAAGGTCTGTGGAATCTTATCTGAGTGTGTGTTGTGGTATTTATTTGTTTTAACTTTAATTCTTTCGTTGCCCAATTTATATATGAACAACTCTCCCAGAGTCAGGTTTATTTTTTAGATGTTGAATAAAAAAACAAATCGCAATCTGTATATCATAGCTCATCATAAACTTGAAACTGGTACATGAACAACTTTCCTAGTTTAAGGTTTATTTTAAGATATTCAAATGAAAAAAACACGTTTCCATATTTCTTTGCTTATCTTAAACTTGAAACTGGTATGTTTTGGAAAGTTTGAATGGTAGTGTCCTTTCTTTATGATGGCACAAAATTCCAACCTCACATGACAGTCCTCTAGAGGTGTCCACGGCAGTGAAAGAGTTAAGTACATATTATAAATACGTAGGGTTTACTTGGAGATAAAAGTAATAAAACAAGAAAGAAAGAAAGTATAATAACTGTTACATATAATTAATTGCAATTTTTTTCTTCTATGTATAAAATTTCAGAAATTTATAATATTTTGAATGAACATTTAGTTTAATAAATATAACAAACTAAATAAAAAATCTTTAGTTTTTGTAAACCTTATTTTAGGTAAATACTTACTTTGGTTAAAAAGATGAATAAAATTATCTAAAGAAAGACTAGGCTAAAAGTTGTCTACCTTTATTTATCATTCTGCTGTTCATTCTGTTAATTTTTACAAATGCTTAGAGCAACAGTGTACTTTTTATGTAAGAGTTTCAGTTGAATAGTGTTTGTTAATGAATTATGATGTGATAGATTATTCACACTTTCTGTAGCAGTCACTTATCGTCATTTGTTTTCAGCATTTGCTTGTAACTATAAAAAACTTAACACTCAACCTAGAGGAGCTACTCTTACTGAAACTGCTTCAATGTTTTGGTTTCGACCAGTCAGACATCGAACTGGAGAAGATGGATGAAAACGATAGTCAGGCCCAAAGGTAAGTTAATATTCAAAATTGAAAATTGTTAACTTGCTGAAAACCATCCTATAGACCATTTTTTCTTAATCTTTTTTCCAACTGAGAACCAGCTAGCTCCAATCCCAGAATTTCACAGGCTATTTTGTACAATGTTCAATTTTTAAAGTATTCTAAAATACATTGTAAAACAATATATATATACTTAAGTAGCTAAATTTCAACAAGCATTTTTTTAAACAGCCCTGTGGACCAACTGAAATATCCATGTGGACCAACAGTTGGTAACCACTGCTGTAATGTATGCATAACGTGAAACATAAACTTTATGGTGAACATCTGAAATAATAACTTTTTTGTTGAACTTTTTAACAAACTTTTTGTGATATACCATATACATCATTACTGCATTATTAGGTTCTTTTACACGGACTCAGTTTTGACATTTGAAATACATACTGTTTCTACTTTCATACTGATTCTTTCAACTTTCAGATCGCATAAGGCTTAAGCTTGATTTCTTTTTTTTTTTTCTTCTTGGTATGATCTCTTTCTCAATAATGTTAGGTTTTATTGCAAGACAAGAAAATAATTAACTTGAAAAATAATCATGAAAGGATTAATGGTCTAATTATTGAGAATCTTAATTTCTACAGGTGACGAAACCTCAAGAAAGATAAACCTTATAAGATTTTGTCAACGTTTTTTTAATGTGTGTATCTGTTTCTATAACTTAGTCAATCTTTTCTCGATCTTGAATATTAACAATACATTTTCAGGGCCCTAGCTGCTGCTGCTTCTGCTCATGCTCAACGTTATTACTTCAGCACTCTGAAACTCCACATGCAGCAGCTACGATTAAGTGTTTTGACAAGTGGACAGTTGCCACCTGAACTTCGCCAGCTGAAACACAAAGTTGGATGGCATTTGATTCGTTTCGAAGATGCTATAGTAGAACTAGGTAGAAGGATTTGATCATTTTGTATAGTAGATCGAATCTTAGAAGCTGTAAAGCAGCAAAACCACAAGATTTTGTATACATGTATAGTAAGGAGACTTTTAAAGCAGCAAAACCACAAGATTTTGTATACATGTATAGTAAGGAGCTTTTAAAGCAGCAAAACCACAAGATTTTGTATACATGTATAGTAAGGAGACTTTTGTTCTTTCATATTTAATTAAACTGCAAAATGACTAAGAGATTTTTCACACATCAAGAACATGTGTACTGTTAAAAGTATTTGTTAAAGTAAGATATATATACCTGAAGTTAATGCTCATTATTACTTTCTTTTGGTATAAGTAACTTTGAGTTGTGCTATAGCTCTACTTCTTGTATATATATATATATATATATATGTACAAAGTAAGTTATGCTCATTATTACTTTCTTTTGGTATAAGTAACTTTGAGTTGTGTTATAGCTCTACTTCTTGTATATATATATATATGTACAAAGCAAGTTACTGCTCATTATTACTTTCTTTTGATATAAGTAACTTTGAGTTGTGCTATAGCTCTACTTCTTGTATATATACGTACAAAGTAAGAATGCAAACATCAGCCACATGGTTTCAGACTATAACATGCTCTCATGTGACAAAAAAAGCTGTCTTTAAATTATCAATATTCAAATAAAGTGATCTGAGTGGACATTTTGTAGGTTTAATGTTATTCAATGAATTATAGTTTCATTTTGTAGGATATGGGTGATGTATTTACCAATACAGTTGCAATTTTTAGTTCCATTTTCAAATATTTTTTCAGATTTCTCTTTCCTTAGGGAGTAAGAGTTTGTTGTTAAAAAAAAAATACATTTTCTGAAAGTGATGAAAAATGTTGATGCAGATGTTAATATAATATAACAGTTTTTCTCATTAGTTTGCCCCTAACAAAGTCTACCTTTCGAAAGCTATTTGATTATAGTGTGAAAAATTGGTTCCCATGTTAAAAGATAGCAAATTTTTAGGTTTTTGTGACCTTGATCCTTCAAAAACTAATCACTTCTAAGTTGGGCCACAGTCCAAATGTATACCAACTTTCATCCAAATCCATTCAGCCATTTTCAAGAAATTTTGTTGACAAACAAACACACAGAGAGAGAGAGAGAGAGGAATGAAAACATAACCTCTGTCCACCTTCAATGGTAAAAGTAAAAATTCAAAAGGACCATAGCTTGCATTTGTGGTTCATAGTGGTGGTGTGTCATTTATGGCATAGAAGTGTTTCTTATTCTGATCCAACCCTAGTCAGATTTAAAACTCTAATTTTAAATTTTTTTGTGTGTTAAATTGACTTTTTGAACCTAAATATGTTTCTAACATCATATGTAATATCTCGGGCATTGTACAGATTCATCCTGCATGTTTTAATACATTAAATTCTTTTGATTGTGACATTTAAATAGTTGGATTTCCTTTTGAATATTTTATATGCTGATCTGCTTTAGCTATTGATCCAATATAACTCCTTCTATCACCTTATAAGAAAACTCTTTCTGTTTCAGATCCATTTCTCCGTGTTCACCCATTTGAAACTCTCCAGTTCTTGTTGGATGATATTTATGAGCACTATAGAGAGGTGATAACCCTTAATAAACTTTTTTTTTCAATTAAAGCAAACAACGTTTTGTGTTGTTTTTTTTCCCTAAAATATTGTAATAAATTCTTTGTATCAACTTTGTTTGACATTGTAGTAAGGTACCACAATATTCTTGCATTTGATACATTCACCCATTTCTTCTAAAATTAAGTTTGTTTGTTTTTTTCCATAATCTTAATTCTACAGGAACTTAAAAGCCAGGCAATTAAAATTCTTGGGGCAATAGACTTCTTGGGTAACCCTCTAGGCCTTGCAAATGATGTTTCTCATGGACTTGTAGAACTTGTGAAAGAAGGAAACTTCGGTGGACTTTTCAAAAATGTTACCCATGGCTTGTCCAACTCTGCTGCTAAGGTATAGTCCATATTGTTTTACATTCTTATCTCTGTTCATACGGGCCAAGCATGGCCAGGTGATTAGGGGGGCTTGTCTCGCAATTTGAGGTTCGCGAGTTCGAATCCCCGTTTCACCAAACATGCTCACCCTTCCAGCCGTGTGAAAAATTGGTTCCCTTGTTAACAGATAGCAATTTTTTAGGTTTTCGTGACCTTGATCCTCCAAACACTAATCTCTTCTAAGTTGGGTCACAGTCCAAATGTATACTAACTTTTATCCAAATTCATTCAACCATTTTTGATAAATCTTGCTGACAAATACACAAACAAACACACACACACAGGGATGAAACCATAACCTCTGTCAACCTTCGGTAGCATAGGTAAAAATTTAAAAGGACCATAGCTTGCATTTTTGGTTAATGATGGTGGTGGTGTGGCATTTATGACATAGAAGCGTTTCTTATTCTGATCCAAATTTATTTAGCTTTGAAACTGTTGAAACTTAATTTAATGTGCTGGTGAAATAACCTTAATTTTTGAGTGCTGTCAGACAACAACAACAACATAAGTATAACGAGTTGCCTGTAGAGCTCATGTAATATGTTTTTCTCCAGCTTGGATGTTAAACATCGTACAGCACTATATCTGAGTGTGTTTTTTGTTCAGGTAACAGGCTCTCTGTCAGATGGCCTTGGAGTTGTTTCGATGGATAAACATCATCAGGAGATGAGGAAACGGATCCGTCAGGATACTGCTAGTGCTGGGAGCGATCACCTCGTAGCTGGACTGAAAGGGCTTGGGATTGGCTTACTTGGCGGAGTCACTAGTATTTTGTCACAGACGTATGAAGGTGCAGCCTCTGATGGGTTTCAGGTAAACAAATGAAATATACACTAACTATCAGTCACAATTAGAAATACATTTATATAAAGTGACCATTTAAATGTTTTCCTCTTCGCTTTGGTATTCAGCAGAACCAACATCATTTACTTGAGTAATGAAATCAGCAATATCTTAGGGGATTTTTCTTGCATTTCCTAATTATCTTTTAACTCTTTCCATGCAGGCTTGGATGAATCAACCGAGTTTGTAACCATTTTGTACTTGTTACAGTTTCCATACTACAACTTTTAATACAGTTCATGTATCTTCACAAAATTTGGCTGTCTTTCAGTAAACGTTATAAAACTTTTGTACATAAAAAATTTGATTTTTTTAATTGATTATTTTTAATAAAATTTGTCTGTGAATGTATAGTGTAGTTTTGCTTGCTACTCCTAGTGCAAAGTGAATTTCATTAAAAATACTTTTATTCATCAGAAGATTTTCAGATTTCATTTGTGTAATCTCTAAAACCTCCTAAGTAATTATAAAACGTTATTTTTCACTAAAACTTTATATTTTTTTTGTTATTTTCTCTACCCTAACACTGTATATAAGAGGTTGGTCAAATTAACCGACCTCGTAACCACCAAAAAATCATTCAAAATAAATCTAAATTACTTTTTTTTTTCTTTCTAGAATATCTTTAAATTCTAACATGAAACTACATTTATTTATGCTAAATAGCTTTAAACTTGTAACAGTATACATCTGTTTATACTTAAATTTTATTATTTTATTGCACTTTGTCTAAATTAATATTTCCATCACAAAATTTGTCAATCAGTTGGTGAATGTGAAGCTCATATTACTCTAGAGAATGACATTACTCGTGAACTGGTAGCAAGCATACCTCCTGAAAAATTATTATTATTCTCTATTTTACCTTATCTAACTTAAAAAGTTTCTAATTTTTACATTTTAGTTACTTTTATAACAATAAATAAAGAGAATACACATGAAAAATAAGAAATATTATACTTACCTGGGCCTTTTTTTTTTACTGTTGATGTCACTTAACCCTACTTTTTTTATACTAATGATACTACACTAAATATTTTTTTCTTTAAAAAATAATGCATCAGAGAACACCAAATAATAATTTGCAAAAAAACAATGTCCCATAATTATCACAATTCTCTATACCGAAAATGATGTAATGTAATACATTACTTGATAGACTAAAATCTTTGCTTTCTATTGGTTATAAATAATATAGTATTAAACATTAGTGAGAACTACTGGCAATTTCTGAAAGAGAGGATGTGACAGATGGATGTAGCAAGTGGGGTCTGATTTTCTATTTTATGGCTTTGTAACCAAATAAATTGAAGGATATACAAATTATGCTTTGCTTGAGCGATGACAACATTATAATTAGTAACTTACATTAAATTTCATACTTCTTGGAGGGGTGGTAAATAAGTTAGAGAAGAGAAGATACCTGTAGAGCAAATGTCATATTTCTCACACTTTGGAAAATTGGTAATTTTTTTTGTAATATTGCCTTATAAAATTAAGAACTTAAAACTTATATAATGTTAACATTTGGAGTATTAGTTATGTTTTTATGCAAAATTTATTTATATGTCTTGATAAGAAAGTACTTTAAATTTTAAATGTAACTCACTAAAACCTCCTGACATGAATCAAGGTTAGAAAACAGAGCTGGGTTATTTTAGCACATGCATATTTCTTGTATTTGATAAAGTCTCTCTTACATTGTAACCATAATAGTGCAGAACACTTAAAACATGGTTGGTTCGTGTTTGTGCAATAACACTTAAATTACCCTTGTCTTCTTTAAAAAAAGAATTCTAAACTGTTTATATGCAAAGTTTCTTGTGTGTGTGTGTCTGACTAACCTGGTCATTAATAATATTCTAGTTCCAAAAACAATTTAAACAAAAAATACCATCAATATTGCAGTTAACCCCATACTGATTAGTGCTGGGGTTCCTTTTGTGTTTTATGTCGAAAATTAGTAATTGCAGTCAGTGTTTTTGATCAATTTTTTCCCCTAGTGCTACAGCAAGTAAACACATAAGATTACCCAATATGATGCGATGTGTGGACCTCCCTGATGTGAACAATAAAGAAACAAGTTGGTAATTTGAGAGCTAATTGAAGTTCTTTTTTTTTTTTTAAGGGATTTTTTGCAGGCCTAGGAAAAGGCCTTGTGGGAACAGTCACCAAGCCAACTGTTGGAGTTTTAGACTTTGCTTCCGGTGCAGCAAGTGCTTTGAGGGACACTAGTCGTAGAAGTTCCCACATCCTTCCTACTAGGTGTCGTCTTTCCCGATTATGTGTTGGACCAGGAGGGCTATTACCTGTGTATTCTGAGCATCAAGCCCTAGGTCAGGAGTTTCTCTTTCAGTTAAATGATCGGAACTTCAACGAATTGTAAGTAGGAAAAAATTATTAAGAAATCAAAAACCACAATAACGAACATTTTATTTTCTCACTGAACTTGTATGTTGATAATTATGTTGCATCTGTGGTTATCAGCAAATAATTTCACATGATGCTGTCAGTACCACGTGTTACATCATTAACATGAAAAGCTAAACATAAAACAGTCACAACTGTGTTTAAACTACCTTTCAAGCTGACAAAGAAAACAAAAACTGTTATAACACCATCAGGAAATGCTGTGTAAAGATTACTGATTGGCTCAACTGATTATTTATTTTGCCTGAATATTTTTCTGCAGAAACAGATTATAATTTAAGACAATTTTGAATTAAAAGCCATCATCCAACATAAATTACAAGTTTCCAAAGTAAAGTTATGTTATGTATGTTACAATAATTGACTCAAGGTATCTTTAATGATAATACTCTTTTTTTTTTTGTCATGAAAATGCGTGCACATCTTACTATTTAAATACACATGCATGCGCGCTACATTTCAACGGATTTAAACAAAAGGCGAGTGTAAACGTACTTACTTTAGTAGACATTTTGTAGAGCAACATATTAAAAGATTATCAGAGCTTTAAAACATCTTAAAGTTAGGTCGTAGTACAACAGTATAAGTTTATTTATTGACATTAAGTTTAGACTTAACTAAACTAAAACAAAAAATGTACATCAGTTACAAAGTTAATTTATCTCTTTATCAAATATAGGCTTGACTAATATTAGGCTTAAGACAAAATGACTTATAGATTTTGGTGTCTGTGATTAGGATTCTTTTATATTACAGTAGAAATTCTGTATTTAAAGAAGTATTGTTGCAATAAAGATACTAGTTTAATCGAAACTGTTTTGTGGGTCTCTGCTAGTATATATATTAATTTAGAATTTTTAATTGATAGAATCCAAGACTCTCGTATGGCATTTGATTAGAACAGCAGTAACTGGTAGTTACTACAGTGTATATTAGTTCAAACACTAACATCAGCAAAACTATATAAGTGTAGATTGGCATGTATCATACTTACTCCAAAGATCAAAAGTCAATTACATGTAGCCCTTTGCTACCAAAACTAACTTTTCAGTTTTCTTTTTTATCTTTTAACTAATGCTGATTGTTTTATCTGTGCAATCCAACAAGTTAATTCAGACTAAGATTCTGCTGAAAATATCTTTAAACTGTACACTTGCTTAAACAACTATTTTTTTGGAATTGTTGGAAACTTGTGATTTACTTTTAATTAATTATTAGTAATAAAGACAAGGTAAATCCATATTTTCGTTTTGTTTACATTATTTTGTAGCTACAATGAATAATGAGATATATTTATGTAATTAGAATATAATGACCATTTTATGAAATATTTATTTACTTGTTGAAGTCTCAGTAACTTTCGTATTCTTGGAAAAAATGTGAATTTTTAAACTTAAAAATAATAAAACTGCAAATAGAGTTCATCCAGTTGAATTTAAAGACAAACAGAATTGGTTCCAGAAATTATTTTTTCATTGTGAAACATTGTCCTATAAGGAAAGAAATCAGTTTGAGTTTCAATGATGTAAAATAACTTTTCAAAAAGATAACTTGTAATAATAACACAGAAGTTCTTGAATATATTGATTTTGTTCTGTCTTTAGAACATGAAATAGTAAATAAAATACGGTCATGATTTCTATCATGGTGTCATATGAATCATACAAGAAAAATGTATAGTTAACCTTACAGAAAGTAGATTCAGATGTAATGTATTAATAGAAATACTAATAATTATTATATATTTATTCTTTGCAACAGAAAGGATTAATATTCTGATAGCTTAGTTGTAGCTTGAATGTTTTATTGCTGGATTATACAAATTTAACTGAGTACTATGGAAAAATTACTGAATAACATGGTAATGCAGATGCTAACAGTAAACTTGAGTCCTCATATAACTGTTAAAAATACTCTCATATTTCGTAGCTTTTATACAACTGTTGGGCAATCTTCAAATAAGTAAATGTATAATCTTTAGTTTTGTAGCATACGAACAACTGCTGGCAGGAAGCGAGGACTTGCGAGCTCTCATCTCCAGTGAACAAGTTTACATTCTTAGTCGAAAAACCCCATCAGTCAACAAAGTCATCCTCACTGTCCCACTAGGGGAGCTGTACTACTGTTGTACTGTTAAATCTACCACTGGAGTTCTGGGTCAAACCAAGATTTACTTACAGTTTAATATGAACACTGATGAAATTTTACCTCTTTTGAATACCACCAGTAAAGCTTCTAAAGGACCTCAAGTTCGTTGTGACTCGCAGGAGATAGCAGATCGGGTAAGTAAGGCACTTCTTAGATGTAGTGTCAAAGTGTAGCATAACACCAGTGAAACTTCCAAAGGACCAGGTTTTATATGACTGGCAGGGGATAACAGATAGGTTAAACAAAGTGGTTCATAGGTATAGGGTCGTAATATAGCGTAACACCAGTAAAACTTTTAAAGGATTTCGGCAAAATACAGTTTGATTGCTCTGTTTATGACAGAGCAAAGGCCAAGTTAACAAACATTTTAATCTATGCAAGAAAATAATGTGACAATTTTCTCTAAGTTTTTAAAAAAAGAATTTAATTTTAATTTTTTATTTGAAAAGCCGATTCTTCAATTTCAGTTAAAAGAATTAGTCTCTCTTCCTTAATGAAAAGACAAGAAGAACTGAATATTTTCATATCGGTGTATCAGACACAAGATAGCATAGTTACATGAATAACTTTATCCTTCTTCTTTATCACTGTTATAATAATACCAGTTTGTTGTATGTAATACATTAGAAGTAACAGGAGTAATGCCATAAACATCTTCTATACAACATTAGGGAATTGATTTAATGAGATTTCTTGTACACCTTCATTTGTGCACTGTTAAAATTTAACACTACTTGTTTTGTTATTCTAAATTGGCTTATCTGTAGTTCTTAGATCTTATAATTGGAGTTCATTTATAGCAGCATTTTTTGTCCATGATATGATCACTGAAATGCTATAATTCTTTCTTTAAATTGATTAATTAAGATGCTCACAGCACTTCCCAACTGTATGAAAGAAGTAAAGGCTGTAAATTTTTCTTCAATCTTCTGACTGAAGTGAGGTAGAAAGATGAATCTGTAGGTTTGTGGAATTTAGTGTTAATTTAGTTTGTTTTTTTCTATTCCAGTCAGTATGGTAAGTTATGGATGAGAAATAAAAATTATTAATTTTCCTCTTTAGAATTATATACCAAAGATCAACAAGATGATACGCAAACTTTGAGTTCTTGAGGAAAAAAAACGTTTAAGTATAGTGGTTTATAAATTAAATAAAACAAAGTGTAAAACCTGCCTCAGATTATGCTGAACTACACTTTTGGGTTCAATGTTACACAAATTTCTTTTTTTCTTGGTATTTTTAATAGGAAAAATGCATCCTAACGAAACAAAATCATTTATCAATCCTAAAGTGTTTCACAGAATATAGCTAACACTATGTAAAGAAAACTAAATTAATTACAAACATAATTACTGTAACATTGACTTTATTTGACGTAGTGAAAACTCGAGGAGAAAAGGTATAATAATAAGTTGAAGAATGACTTAAAACTTCAGAATAAAACAGTTTTTTACCGTTGTTTCGACTTATGCCATTTTTATAGGCACAGAGTTTTGCCTGTTTAGTAAGAACAAATGGAGAACTTTATTTAATACTGTTTATGGAATGTTCAAGTATAAATTTTATAATACAATGGATGGAGTTTAGGATGGTGCGGAACGTAATCAAATCCTCAAAACCATGATTCTTGATGTCATCAATGTAATAGAGCCAAAATATTGGAACTTTTGTGTAATCTTAAGAGCAAAAATAACAACAGTTTGGTTACTATACCATTGATTTGGAAATAAAAAACTTGTATTAAAATGGAAATCTATTTTTCAAATAAATCTGGTAGAACTTTTAATTATAGAAAGCTTAATTTGTCAGCTTTATTTTTGATGATATTTATAATATTTGTAAGTTTTATGAAATGGTGCTAGACAACTCATGTTTCTTTTTTGTTTTTAGGGGGAGGATTCTGTTTATTAATAATAATTTCTGAGTTACAGAAGTTTTCTCACTAACCTTTTGTTAGTTGAAACAACGACACAACATGCTGTTTCTTGTTGTCACAGAGCCTCATAACTAGTAAATGACCCACGACTGGATACAGTTACGTTCACTTGTATTAATGCCCCCCAGTGGCACAGCGGTATGTCTGCGGACTTACATTGCTAGAAACCGGGTTTCGATACTCGTGGTGGGCAGAGCACAGATAGCCCATTGTGTAGCTTTGTGCTTAACTACAAACAACGACAACAACACTTATATTAAAAAAAAAAAGAATTACAAATAGTATTTGTTTCTTCCAGGTTTCTCAACAAGTTAATTATGCTAAAAGCCTATTTGAAGACAGAAGGAATACAGTTGTCATAGGAGATGAAAAACCCGAGGAGCTGGACCAAGCCTAGTCTTTAACCGTTCCTGGTTTTCTTATAACTAATTTTTTAAAATTTAAATGTTCAGGTGCTCATTAAACCAGTTAGAGGTTCTCTACAATATTGGTAGTTTATTAATGAAAGTAATTGGGTTTATAAATAATAATAATAATAATAATAATACAAATAGGCAACTGGTTGATAAACTTCAAAATTTATTACAAAAGAACAATTTGCTATAAATAGTAGGTTTATCAGAACAAATATCTTAGATACAGTATTTATCTGTGATTTAGAAATCGGGAGAAATCCTCTAAATACGTGTGTCAATCTTCTCAAGGTAGTAGACAAACTTGTATACTGTGTTGTAAAATATATTCGGAAGAAATAACATTGTAAAAAGTCTGCTACAGCTGGTCATATTGTATAAATTTAGACAGTTTCACTTTCATGCCATATTAAAGCCTAATAGTTGCTTCACCAGTGACTTTGTATGCTGTGAAAAGTTAAAGGAAGAGAGGCTGCTCTCTCTTTACTCCAGGCAGTGCAGCAAATGATAAACTAAGACAATTGTGATGATGCCTTAAATGAGTAATCTATTTCATGCTGTAACAATGTTGACTAATATCTTCCACCATTAAGTTAATTACTATGTTACCCATTCTTTTGACAGTGGCTTCAAATTGATTTATATATATTTGTTGTTCCTGTAGCCCTAACGTTAATTTGATATCTACTATTTTGAGCTCACAACTTACTATGATCACGTCATATCAAACTGGACATTTGAATTGAATTGATATCTTGAAAACTTCGCAACAAAAGACCTGGAACAGTGAATGTATAGTTATAGAATATTTTAGTTTTAATATAGTTTTTGAAAAACTATCTTTATCATTCTTAGTTCTAAGAAAAGATGTAAAATGATATAAAAGTCAGTGTTTTCTTCCCACGTAGGAAGCTGTTAAATACCTTTAAATGTACTTATTTTTGAAACCTGTCATAGTCAGTTGTGTTCTAAGTGCTCAAAAAATATATAATAATTACATATATATATATATATATATATATATTCCTTTCACACGAGGAAATTGTAAGTAGTAGGGAACCCTAAAAATATCTGTTCATATAAATCTTAGTCTTCAGTATCCCTGTAGCTTTCTTCACTTCAGCAGGCTTTGGTTTGTGCACAGTTTATGCCTCAGTTATTGTGGTTCTGTTTTCAGTTTTAAAAACTTTCAATGATATGAGAAGCAACTTTTTAAGTTTGAAAAAATTTAACTGACTTACATAAACCCAGATTGTCTTCAGGTTACTATTTCACTGTAAAAAAAAGTTGTTTTACTGACATAACAACATTTCGACCCATAGTAGTGGGCTGTTTTCAGGTTATTATTTGAGTGTAACGCAAAATTGGTTTTACTGACCTAAACAAACCTAAGCATTTTGGCCCATAGTAGCGGGTCAGTTTCAGGTTACTATTTGGCCGCAGTGAAAAATTTGTCTAACCGACAAAGATAACATTTAGACCTATAGTAGCAGGTGATCTTCGGGTTACTGTTTGACTGAAATGTCAGTAAAACAGATTTTTCATACTTAAAAAGCCAATTCTGATATCATTTAAGTGCTCTGAAGGATTTTGAATTTCCGTTTACGATATATATATGATGCTTTGGTAGTAATTTCCTAATAACATGATTGATTTAAACTCTTTTTTTTTATGTCCAATCCTGTTTTGTTTGATGTGCAATAACTAAAAAGAAACTTTACGTACACAAACTTACACTTACATATATATAGATTCTGTCAGTACGTTCATCTTTATTTAAAAATATATATTTATTTTGTTCTGTGTGTGTTTCCTTATGAGTGAAATAATATATATATGTTTCATAAGATACTTATTGTTTTTAAACAAAACAAAAAAAACTAAAAGTGTTAATTATGATAAAGTATGAATATGCACGAATAAAGGAATTTTTTTAATACTTTTTCGTCCTGTGTTATGCTAGCAATCTTTAGATCAGTATGGAAATTAGAACTACTTTTACAATTTGTAAGTTGTAGTTGATGACTCGAAGCTGAAGTTATTGATGATGTTTTGAAGAAAGTTGGATGATTTAGCGTTCAACATATACACCGAGTAAAATGTGTACATGCCTCTTGCACTGCACTACACACACATATATATATATATATATATATATATATATATATATGTATGTATGTATGTATGTGTTTATCAAAATTTTATGTACCTACATATGGTAATTTACTATTTTCATTTGGCACTTATAAAGTTGTAGTGATAGTTAGGAGACTATAGATACTTTTTTTTTTTACTTAACAGCTGCTTAACTAACTAACATAATAACATCAGCCAATATAATATCAATAGCTAGTACAAACCACACATATTTTAAACGGCACAGAAATAATATATTTAAATTATTTTTAAAACAGCTCTCTATGAGGTAATAACTCCACGAATACAAAATTAATAACACAGGCCCTGCGAATTTAAAGTTAATAAAAGCTGTTCTAGTTTTAATAACGGATTTTCCGTAAGGATTTTTTTACAAATAGGGAAGAAGAAGAAACTTGTTTAGATCAAATTATTATTTCGTTTACCACAATGAACATTTTATTATTATGTTTGTTAACAAAAATACAAACGAACTGGAGAAAAGTGAAGAACATTGATGTCAAACGAATATGCATCCTCATTCATCCTGATTTTGTGTGTGTGTGAAATCTACGTTTTTTAGTCTCAAAACTACGTGTTGTGGTCTTTCTTTTATGTATTGCGTTATGACGTTTTGTGAAAAATATATACGTGATGGAGAAAAATGGATATCATTTTCGGATTCAGTTTACAGGAATTACTGGCGAATATGTAAAAATATCAAGACAATAAAACTATCGCGGGCCTGTGTAATTAATGATAATTTAAGTACGGAAACACTGAAGAAAATCCCGTCAGTGGCACAGCGGTATGTCTGCGGACTTACAACGCTAGAAACCAGGTTTCTATACCTGTGGTGGCCAGAGCACAGATAGCCCATTGTGTAACCTTGTGCTTAACTTCAAACAAACAGACGCTGAAGAAAGTAATGTGGTGAAATCATTTACAAGAAACCAAAGTTGTGCCATATTATTAGTGTCATATTTGAATTTTTTTTTAAATGCTACACAGGACACTGCAATATTTGTTTTCCTACAAATACAAGGCAATGTAATAAAAACTAACACTTAGTCGGCACTGTGACAAAGGTAACAGTCGGCACTTGTCATAAAGTTGACATTTAGTCGGCACTATGAAAAAGTTGTCAATTAGGCAGCTCTGTGATAAAGTTAACACTTAAGGTGAGGCTGCAAACGAAGTAGACAGTTTTCTTGGGTCAGCAAAATTGTAAAGATCAGACATGTACGCCTAGTATATACAATAAAGGAAGTTCAGTCGAAAGAAATACTAGTTCGTAACAAAATTATAAGTTAAGGATATTTTTACAGGTTAAGGTAGATGCTGTCTCAATAACATGAAATACAACAACAAGAGTGCTTTTATAGTTAACCTACAAAAGGAATTTCACCAAATATGTATCATTCAGTTATGTCACGGAATAACCAGAACCCAAAATTATATATTTACATGAAATTATATGAGTAAGATACCTCCTAACTGGAAAATAATTCATAATGTGATTTTCTTTGTTGTTAAGCACACGGTGGGTTATCTGTGCTCTTACCACCGCGGTTATCGAAACCCGAGTTTTAACGTTATATGCCCTCAGACTGACTCTGAGCTACCTGGAGGAAATTTATAATATTTAAGAAAAAGTATATAAATACATATTTATCCTTAATCGATTTTATCATCTTTATAATTATGATATTTCCTTTTGAAAATAACTTTTTAAACACTTTTTTATAGAAAAGAAACACAAAACAAGATAAATCATAACTAGCAGTTAAAGCTCTGAATATACATTAATATATTAAAAAATCAGTCGATATAACATTATCTCAGATGACTACAATTATATATTTATATATAACAGATAAAAGAAAGAAACGCTATGAAAACGGACCGAGCCCAGTAGTTAGTGTGTCAGACTGCGAATCAGAGGTTTCGTAATTTGCAATTTTGGGTCATGTATGCGTTATAAGAATGATTGTCGAGTCCCACTATTAGGGTTGACAGAGCTGGTGGTGTTGATCTGCTGCTTTCCCTCTAGTCTATCGCTTCAAAATAAGGGATGACTAGCGCAGACAGCCCTTGTTTAGCTTTGCGTGAAATTCAACAAAGCATACCTATGAAAACTGGGACAAGTTGTATGATTCCAACACTACATGATAGAGTACGTTATATTAAAACGATTTTGAATATCCAAATCAGCAAGTCATGTAACAGTCACGTTGAAATGACATACTACATTTTGATATTGCTATATATTGTTACACCTTTGTGTTCGTTTGTTGATTTTCCGTAAAAATTCTTTCTGAAGAAACTTTAGCGATACAAGTCCTTTCTTAAAT